CATTCACATACACACACCCCGTACGAACAGTTAAAAACAATAGAAAAGGATTGAAATAAAGTATGCTTAAAAGGGGCACAAACAAAGTGAAACAAAAAAGTAAACAAACCATTAAAATATGAAATGTAGTTGTATGGGCAGCGTACAATGAAGTGTACATACATGCATATTTATGTAGTGGCGTCTTACCCACCCACAGTGGCAGACAAACTGGCAAGCAATAAAGTGTAGTATTAGTTGACAGTGACAGTTGGTCAACGTCAGCCAACAGCAACGTCATTGTTCATTGGTAGGTGTCGGGGGGCGGATGGGCGATTGAAAGAGAGGTTACTAACATCGTCGTCGTCGTTAGCCTCGTTGTAGTTGTCGTTGGGCGTCAACTTCCTTATCAGCCATGCAACAACAATGCGAGTAACTGTAACTAAAAACAATGAGAAACTTGAAGATAAATATAACAGCAGCAATTACGGCATTAACAGTCGAACAATAACAGCAATTGAGGCTGAAATAATGGTGAAGCTCTTTCATGGCTATGGTGGAGATTGTCAGTGTAGCCAGAAAAAAATTTTAATCCTCAAAACAATGAAACTAAAATACTTATAATATGATTGTATTATTTTTTTTTTAATAATAATATTTTTACGCCAACACTTTTGTTAAAACTTTTTTCAAGGAAGTAATACCCCCGGTGGCTTGCGGGGTGACCGCTTTTATTAGAAAAAATATTTTATGATTTAGATGTTGCTCGGACCAGGGGTCGAATCCAGTTTCCGCGGACATCTACCCACTCAGACACATGTATTTAATATGATTTTTCTATTTATAAAGAGGAAATATGTACATATTTGGCGCTTGACCATTTTTTAAGGTGTTTGGTTGGGCCTATCCTCCAGTTTGTGGTATGCGCCTTGATATTGTCACACAAATGGTGGATGCTTGGAGAAGCTTATTCATGGCAGAAACATACTCGGAGGTTTGTCATTGTTTGCCGAGAGGAAACGCTATTAGAAAAAGCTACGATATTTCTGGTTATAGCGATCGAACGCTGGATCTACCAAGTGAAAGTGTGTACCTTTAAACAATCGTTTCCTTAAAGCCTAGGCGAGATACGACCCCTGTACGTCGAAAATAAAACCATAATTCGTATGAAAATAAAGGCTTAATAGATGCCAAAATTTATAAAAAGTGTTTAAAATAACAAAAAAGTACGAAATGAGCCCTGAAAATAGCCGTCACCTAAATTATTAGAAGTTGTAAAAGTGAAAACTTAGGAGTTAAATTAATTTCGAGGTTTTTTAGAACCTACTACATTCCTTTTGTGCGCTACACTCTTTTGTAGTGAATCAAACATCAATTATCTCCATAGTGTATGTATATCCAATAAAAGTCTATAATTAAAAGGGGATAAATTAAAACTAGGAGCTAAAAACAATTCTTCGGAACAAGTTAAATAAACAAAGTGACCTCACTTGTGATTGTTGTGTTGTGCGGAGCAACAGCAGCCCTGAAAGTAGTGGAGAAGACGAACCCGAGCCCCCAGCCAATGACGACGTAGTCGATACATCACCGCCTGACTATAGCGAGGCACAAAGCTGCTTGAGCTGACGGCCTGTCAACTCAGCTATTCAAATACGGCTGCAAGGAGCTGATAAGATGCATGCAACAACTCTTATGCATAGCATAATATGGTCAGATGTACGCATGCCCGACGACTGAAATTTAAGTGTGCTCTGTCCAATCCACAAGAAAGGCGAACCCGCCATTCGCGCCAACTTCCGCCGGATCAGCCTTATAAGCATAAGTTACAAGTGCACAATACTTTACAAGGTCGTATGCCGACGGCATCGACACTTGGCACCCATATATTTATTTATTTAAATAGTGTGTTAGTCCTAACAGAGCGAAGCTAAACTTTATAATTATTGACAGATACAAGTTTGAAAAAGCAGACGAATTCCAACGGAGAATCACGCTTGCCAAAAACTGCTACTTTGGACTGAGTAGGCAATTGAGAAGTGAAGTCCTCTCTCGCGGTAAAAAAGTCATACTCTATAATGACCCCGTCAGAGTGGGAACTTTGCGTACGTTCCGCTCAAGGACAGTTGAGTATACTGTGTGTCTTTGCATAGAGAGCGTCAGATTGGCAACCCTCGCTTCGACGGACCCAATGAACATTGGTCAACAATCAACTTTTGACGCACGTAAGTCCGTGACAGATTTACAGGCCTTTGTGCATTGGTGATGGCGAATACCGCAGACGATGAGTTAAGTGAGCTTTACAACGTTAAATACATAGTGCAGCGAATTAAAATCCAGCAGCTATGCTGGCCGGGTCATATCGTTCGAATTGACAGAAGCTCTCCAGCTCTGCAAGTATTCAATGCGGGTCGCGATGCTGGTAACAGAGGAAGAGGAAGGCGTCCTCTGCATTGGATAGAACAGGTGGACAAGGACTTGGCTTCACTCGGCATTTCCAACTGACGTCAGTTGGCACAGAAGAGAAACGAGTGGCGTGCTGTTTTGGACTCGGAACCTAGCTTGCCCGTGCAGTTCGTCATTCCCTTCTTTTTAAAGTCATTGTTCATAATGTCTAAACTTAAAATAATTACGTAAAATAACTCTGCCACATTCTACAGAATTCAATTCTAAGTTAAAAAAAAATGTTTTTCTATTGCAAGAGAAATAATTTGAAAACTTGTTGAAAAGTATGATCGACTTTCATATATATGATCTTGGGGGTCAAATAGGCGCTAAATATGTATGATGTTATCTGAACGTAGAATTTTCCATTCTTTCTGAATTTTTAATAAAAAATTGGGGGTACCTGTTAAAAGAAAACATGTTGGCCTCGGGATGACCTTGAAATTGACCCCACTGTCCTTTTCTCATTCAGCATTGGAAGGCTTGATTTTTTTAATCAATTTTGCATGTATTTTTTAAGTTAAAAGAAAAATTGGCAGGGGTAATGTCCAAAAATACCACTTAAATATTTTAAATTATTTAACTAAATACCTCTCAATTTATATACAGACGCAGTTTCGTTAGTTTCCCTACCAAAATATACGAAAGATCATTTCGTGACCTTATTGTATTAAGTGTAAGAAATACTAGTACAGAAGCGGTTAGACACTGTACATATGTAAATATGCTCATTATTAACTTAATGTCCATTTTTTATCAATTTTTTTGACATTAAACAATTTTTTTGTAATATTGTATTAAAAATTTCCTGGAATCGACTATACATTTATCGTTCGAAAAATGCATATCCTCCTAAAAGTTTTCATGCAAAGTTTTAGTTTTTGCCATATCACTCCTTATTGCTTTTACAGCGTGGCTAGGAATACTGGTAACCTTTTTTTCCCTTCCAGTAACAAAAGTTCTAAAAATCGGCCACTGCACCTAACATGTAAATTTTTTAAATCTTTGTTTTATGGCAATTCTATTGTAACAGCAGCGCTCCTGCGCAACCACTGTAAAGTAACATGGACTTAATAATTGAATACTCTTAGATTATAAATTTAAGAGCACAGAAAGAACTACATATGTATTCCAAAAAAAACACATATGTGTGTATGAATATAGCTTCACCCAGTTTTTGATGAGCAAAAACTAAAAGCAAGTACATACATTGAAAATTAGACCAAAAACAATAGCAGTATCAACTATAAGAACGATAACAAATGGAAATATAAAAAAATGGTTGTGAGACGCCCAAAAATAGATACAAAATCAAGCTCACACGTTTTCTAATTTGTACCTACTCGGTATTGGTGCGAGAATTTTAAGCGTTGTTTTTTAACCCTGGTGTTGAAATTTTTAAATATTTTTTTTGGAAAAGTGTGAAGAAGTATTTGTTAAATTAATTTTATAAAACAATACTGCTAATTATAGTTACACAAAATTTTACATCAAAAAATTTGCGCCGATGCTTACAATGCATATTTACTTTTTTTTATGTACCAAAAAGTTTTTATTTGTTATCTCTCTTTACTTTTGTCGAAAGCATTTTAGAAAAACATTAAAAAAAACTTAAATCATATTTGGTACTTAATTCAAAAAAATATATATATATTTCGGGAAAAGTTGGGTGATTAAGAAAATAACATTTTTTTGCAGGTTTTTAAGCAAAAAAACAACCGACTCCAATTCTCATATTAAAATTTGGAAGTACAGCTGAATTCTTCGTGATTCAATGATCGGAACCAAATCAAATTAGTGTGGGACCACTCTTTAGGTGCTACCATTCCGATAAAAAAAAATAATAATAATTATCAGTTAACGTGGTCCATAGATATACGGTCAGCGTAAAAACTTGCATACCTTCACACTTACACGATTTTATTCTTTTATATGTTTTCCATATGAAATTTTTCTTTGCTTTTTTATTTTAATTACACAGTACTTGGGGAAAATGCAAGAAATACCAAGAAGTTTTGAATCTTTCAATTCGATTTCTTATAAAATAATTTTGAGTATGCAGTTTTGTAGCCCAAACAATTTTAAAATAATAATGTGCATGTTTCAAGTCGCTAAAAATTATCGTAGATTTTTGCATTTCTGTGTGAAATTTAAAAAAGAAATTATTCTTGTTCTTTTTGCTATTGAATTAACCATGTATATTTTACAAAAATATAAGAAACATATTGTATGCATATTGTTGACGTTGACTGTACATATGTAAAAAAATATATATATATTCCGATGAATTGTTAACCTTCCTCCTTGTTTTTTGAAGTCGGTTAAAAAATAAGAGTCCAACGGACACATTAAAAATTTTTTGTTCAATATAAAATAATTGAAATTTTCCGAATTCCTTTTTTATTACGCAAATTTAACTTATAAACTTTAAAACTATTATTTCGATTCACACAGTGTAAAACAAAATTTAGTATTTTTTATGTTATTTTGACTTCAGTAGACTATCACACTTAACAGGCATTTTTTTAGAATTAAATGAACACTACTCGCAAGTTAACGCCAAATTAAGCAAAACTTACCTTAAATGGTTTTTTGTTGTCTGCATCCATTTTTGTCTTTTTTGCACTTGTTGGCCTGTGTTGTTGGTATTGTTTTTGTATAATTTTCTGCTGACGCTTGTCAAATGCACTAGTTGCAATTTCACACTATTTTAGGTAACTATTCTTATATTTCTCGCACGCACAGTTTTTAGCTCTATTTTTGTATGTTTTCTAATTTTTGTTATGAAGAAACTGTTCTATGTTATTATTTATGTCAGTCTCATTGTTTATAACCTACTAAAAAAAATTTAGTTTTGTTTTTGTCGTGCATCTGCTTTGCTTTTCTTTATTCCACTACTACTACCCCTCAACAACAGCAGCTGCTGCTGCTTCTTCTTCTGCACAAAACTGGAGCGCACGTTGTTCACACGCGCAACTGCGCTCGTAGAATCGCGGCAGCGCCCAAAATATATCAACGCGTAAGTATGTAAAACAAAATGCAATAATGAAAACAAACAACGCAGCACACAAGGCAGCTGTTTGGATATGAAAATACACAGAAAATTTAAAATAAAGTCACAAAATCACTGTCCACCACTTCTATCAGCCGTAAACACTGGCGCGCTGGCTGGTAAATACAGTGCCTATCAAACTGCGCGCACTTGCAAAAGACAAAGAACCAGCCTGTGGCAAGTTAGTTATTAAAAATAAATATATTTTTAGCGCGGTACTAACGTTTAATTCTAACTCCTTCACCACACAATTTTCACTTTCCGATTTAATTCCTCAACTGTAGTCACTTGGCAGTCAATTAACTGCAGCCAGCAGGTAGGCGCACCTAGTTGGCGTTTTCAGTACTCTTTGTAGGTATTTCTTTCTTTGTTACTTGACGTTTTCGTTTTATTCCGCTGCTGCTGCTACTTCTGCTGGTGTTTCGCGCGCATCAACTCGTTTGCACACACAGTTGTAAGCACTGCCGGCGAATGACAGCGCTGTCACTGCTGATATGCCGTTTTATATACACTCTGTTCACCTCGTGTGCACCACTGGTCTATGTAAAACTCTGGCACATTCGTGAATCGACACAAAATCAACCAGTTTTTCACTGTTGCGTTATTTTGTCCAGCAGACAGCACAGCGCCAACGAGAATGGAGAATGAATTCGTAGGCATAAGAAACTCGCTTGCTTGGAGCTTGGAGTAGACGATAACAGCAGTGCGAACAGCAGCAGTAGCAGCGGCGTACTTGAGCGCGAGTTATAAAGTAGCGTTCTCTCTTCTCCGAAGCTACGCTCTTAGCACTCAGCTCCTCTTGCGTTATTCTTTTTACTGCAAAAACTGTACAGTGGGTAGACACCTGCGCACACTTCCTCCCACAATGTTACTGCCTTTCATGGTGGTTCCCCCACAATTACGTTGCTGGACGTCATCGCTCTTAATTGGTGTGCTCGTTGATGAAGCTGACTATATAGCTCGTTACGTTGCACTGTTCATTCGTCCTTCCAATTTGTTTGTCTGCCTGTCTAACTGTTCGTCGTTCGTTCGTTTGCACATCCGCTCATCACTCATCCGTTCGACGTGTATCCTATGTCGTATCTGTCCGTCCGCTAAAGTTCTTAATACGCTTACACCACAACTATTGTTGTATTCTAAGTCTTCTACTTCTTTTGTATGTACATATGTATGTATGGCTGCTTTTATTGTGCAAAGTATTTGGATTTCAATGCAAATACTTTCTAAGGGCTAAGGAGTATTCCACAATTTACCGAAATGCATATAATAAATGTGGTCCAATTAACATTGCGATGTCCTATGACAGGACCATATACTAAAGGTTACCAACTACTTCATAGTTCAAAGAAGTACAGGTTAGGTTGGGTTAGGTTAAAGTGGTTGCCCCAGACAAAGGTCACGCTTGGTAAATTAAGAGGTTTTCCTGAACGGAGACCCTTAATTTAGTCGGCGAAATCTACTAATTTCTATCGCTAAAAGCTCAGTGTTACTTAAGAAGTGCGAGTCAAAATGCTTCCACCTTACGAAGGTTGAACAGTCCAAAATAAAGTGTGGAGATGATTCCACCTCATCTGCCCCTTGGCAGCTGATACAAAAGTGATCAGTTGAAATTCTTAGCCTTACTGAGTGACTACCAATCGCAAAATGACCTGTCAAAATCCCCATCACTAGCCCAAGAGAGGTAACATATTTTTCGGCACCTTTAAGGGGTAATGTTGGGTCCATTTTATTAGGAATTTAGTAGAGTAGGCAATTTCATTATCGCGAGTACGAAGTATGTGTGTTAATCTAGCACTCGCAGAGCTAACACTAGGCCGAACCATCCAAGAGTGCACCGCAGCAGGACAGAGGCATTCCTAGTTGCTCCTTATTTGGGGATAACGTTTTTAGGATGCCTTTCAAACGTCAGGTCATCAGGAATGCAGTTTCCGGCGATGTCGCTGTGACTCGGCACCTAAACTAGCCTTATTAAGAAGTACTCCGACGCGATTTATGGAGAGGTCAGACATTTCTTTACCGATTTCGAGAGCACCGTCGCACCCATTATCAGTGGGTCTACCGCTTACCTGATGGCAACTATATCCGCCTGAAAGACCCTGCGAAGCCCGGAATCCCAAACATAGCTTTGGTGGAGAGTTTCCGATAGAAGAAACCTCCACCAACCCTGTCTCTAACTTTTTATCCGTCCGTGAAGAAGTTTACCGTTCCCTTATTCGAGTAACCCATCCTACCCAGTCCTCTTTTGAGGGAATAGTAGTAGTAGTAATTTTATTTATCTTTAAAATTTAAATTAAAATAAATAAAAGATCATAGACAATAACAATAAATGTTGTGTGTGTTGAGGGAATATAGGTGGAGAAGAAGCTTCTGGAATACATTTCGTAGGCTATGTAATCTATGTATTCAGGGTGAAGTCACAGCCCTCCTGAACTCAGGAGTGATATACCACCTGGTTTCCCTGAGCCTAACAACTGTTCGTGCTGCGATAATTATGTCTGCGGTATCATCAGGCGCCGTATTCCACATGACGTTAAGCACCAGAGTAGGTGAAGTTCCTAATGCTCCACTAATTCAGTGTTTTTACAAGGCCTTTTCTAGTGAGTTTCACCAGACAAGGGCTCCGTGAAACAAGTTAGGCTTAAATCTGGTTTCATAGAGCTAATGAATTACTTTGGGCGATAGACCTCATATTTTACCGATTGATACCCTACGGCAGTGCAAGGCAACCAACGTCCTTTTTTCGCTTTCCTCGATGTTGGGCTTCCACGACAGCTTCCTATCCAAGATCACATGACCCTGTCTAAGAGTCGCGGACGAACACCCTCCACACGAAGGAAGGGCCCTAACGGTTATCTTGTACTCCCTGGTAAACACGACCAGGTCCGAATTGCTGGTATTTACTGCGAGGCCGCCTTTGATCACACACTTGGTTACCTGGTTCAGCTAACCTTGAGCCAGATCAAAAAGGTTGTCTAGAAATCGTCCCTTAACCAAACGGTCAGGTGGGCAAGACTCATGTTACCCTTAATCTCACAGAGTCTTGCTAAGTATTTATTTTCCTTCATTGCGCAGATGAGTTTAAAGGCAACTTGTTGGATTGTCGACTGGTCTTTTCTCGTAACACAAACACTTGACCGTGATTGACATCCATGACAACCCCATTTTCTCTTCCTACCTTGAAAAGGTTGAGACGGCAGAACACTTTTTGTGCTTCTTCAGCGCCTTTGCAAGGATTGGTTTTGGAGATTTTGGCAGCGATGTGATGAACACCTGAGCTCTTTTACACCCAATAATCTACACCTTTCATTCCTAGATCGCATTTATTAAAAATTAGAAGCGAACACGAAAACAGTAAAATGGCCGGCCTGCAGTCTGAGTTAGTTCCGACAAAAAGAAAATGCAGCGGAATGTAATTTCGATTTCCTATTAGATCCTTGTGTTAAATTCACCAAAGATATTTATCTGAATTATAGATTTTCCCCGCAGGGTATGTATGTAAATTTGTATATATTAGAATGTTAGCATCATTGAACCCAGTGTCTATCTGACTGTCTGCCAGCAATGAAAATAGCAACACTAGCCATAAAAAGCAGCAGACACTAGAATCGTGACCGCAAAACATGGCGGTGATGGCAACAGCGACATCGACAACGACGGCGGTAACATCAACAACAACAACAACGTTGACAACAAGAGCAACAATAACAACAAAATTAACAACAACAACAATAAGCATTTAGTAAGCGCTGTGGCAGCAAAGGCTCATAAAATAGCATATTTATAGGCGCACTCACAGCTTAACAACAGCAAAAACAAAAATCAAACAAAAATAGAAACCCACGAGTTGGCAGCCGAAGCAACTACGCGGACAACGAACAACAGTTAACTAGAACAATATCGACAATAAAAAAGAAAAAAAACAACCTAACCATCGCACAGCGCACAGTGGTATTTCGTCGAAAAAAATAAAACTTTTTGAATATTAAATTTTTATATTTGAATGGTGTGGCCTGACATAGATTTTTTTTTGTTTACTTAAGCAATGTGTTTTTCTTATAAATTTTCTGTTTATTGTTTTTGTTGCAGGTTCATATGTAAATATAGCACCTACTAGACAAAATAGAGAAAACATCAGGGCAGTCGACCAAATATTTTAATAAATATAAGCCGTCAAAAATTACACTTTATAAAGGGTGAACACACCAAAACTGCGACACTTAGAAATTAAAACAAACTAGAAGGCTTTGAAATTATTTTTTTTTTATTATATAACTTGGAAGTTTAGATATTATTAAAATGTTAAAATATTAGTTATTATTTGCTCCATATGCAAGTGATCGGTATTTTCATCGCACACGCGCCATCATATTCTGCACGACTGCATCATCGACATTACGCGATGCGCACAACTACTTTGTTTTGCACTCTTCAATAATTTTCACTCTTTCAGCTGTTTTCTTCAAGATTCCTTTGACAATTGACCAAAATTCCCCAATAGGACGTGGCTCTTGGCTATTGGGTGGATTGCAGTCGTGAGGTACAAAATTGATGTTATTTGCATTATACCACGGCAATGTGTCCTTGGCATAGTGGCAGGTTGCCATGTCCGCCTAGAACGATGGCCTACTCCTTATCTGTTGATAAATGACAGAAGACGCCTTTTGAGGCACTCATCCCGATAAACTTGATCATTCATTATCCTGAATGGGAAAAAAGGGCTGCTCTTACGGCCGCAGGAACAAATAGCTTGCCAAACCATGTGGTTTTTGGAAATTTGGACTTCATTTTCAGCTTACAACTTTCAGGGCATCTTGACGACTTGCAGCCGTATAAAAATCTTGACCTTCAATATATTTTGAATTCTTATAGCAGTAGGTTTCGTAGTCCATAACAATGCAGTTGTATTTTTTAATTTAGTATTCATACAACTTCCGAATGCGGGATTTCGCTGTAACATTCTACTTTGCGCCTCGGTCTGGCGCTGTTTGAGCTGTAGAATATCTCAATGAAGCTTTCAGCTTTACCTTTTGTACGAAAAACTGCGATCTCCGTACGGATTTTGCAACATAACGCGACAAAATCTTCGGATCTCGCGTAAACGCACTGAGGACCTTCCGAGCACTGTTTTTATCACTTTGACCATGCTAACCCCCGCTCCCTGGTTTTCTCGTAACTGTCAGGCCTTATTTGTACTGATAAAAACCCTGCAAACTGTCGAATAGTGCACTCTTTAATTTTTTAGCAATTTTACGTGTACTTAAGGCCGGATCATTTATAAACTCGTGCAAAATGGTTTGTCTCGTTTCTAGCTCGGTTGCCATTTTTAACTCAACTAGGAATCAAATTCAAATGAAATTTCTTCTACGTTCAACTAAGGTCATGGTCAACTTATGGTATTTGAATTTCAAAATATTGAATTCGTTTTGGGTAAGTTATAAGCTTCCCAAAGTGTCGCAGTTTTGGTGTGTTCACCCTTTAACTTTGGCACTTTTGATGGACAAAAACTATGTTTCGTTCGACTTCTTACTATAAAAAAATTAAAGACCTTGATATTTTCCATCGATTTTTGAAAAAAAAAATTTTGCACATACATATTGCGACTTTTAACATAACCTCATATTGTATTGATAGCATT